CGTTTTTTTTTTTTTTTTTTGTGCTCCCATTTCGTTGTTGACGCATTTTCGTGTAGCAAAGACATTAGTGCAGATAAAGATATTCAAATAATTTCCCATGTAATCTTTATTGTTTAAATGCAATAAAGGTATTAAAATGCTAAAAAAAAATACCAAGAATACCAAGACCGTCCGGACTATCAATGTGGGACCACCCAACAAGCGATGTTACTAAGATGCTTCCAAATACCAAGCGCAGCTATGCCAGCTCCTCCATCCTGGGCAATTTCTCTTCAGTTATCACTCATCGCCTGTTCGATGTATGTGTGCTACTTCTTCCGAGGTTTGGAGGATTTGCTCGCAAGGATTCACCTATTAACAAGGAAGACGTGCTTATTGTCCTGCAAAAATAAATATTAGCCGTTACGAGATGCAACTGGCGTGTGCTGAGCATTACTACCGTGTCTCGAATGTGTTATGATCTCTAGATTTCACCGATTTCAAATATAATGTACCGGTTTTTCGGATGTTCCGGCACACTGGCACTGGGAAAAAAAGCACATTTTTGCAATTCCAAGAATTAAAAATTTATTCAACATTTTTTGCATTCGTGAACAGCACATTACTAAAACAAAATAGTAAGCTAAAAAAAATCCAAAAAAAAAGAATTTATACCGGTCCAACGAAATGACAGTGTGCACAATGATTACAGGATGAGACAGACGGTTGTTGTCCCTTTCAACAGCAGCACAGTATTCACAATGAGTGAAATCACAGAGATTTGATAAAAGCCTAGATTTTGAACAATATTTTGCATGTTCGAAATTTTGATACTCTTTTGAAAACAAGAACAATTGAAAAATAAAAACTAAAATCCAGGGTGCCGACACTCTGTCTGAGTGTAAAACCTGTAAGAACGGAAGTAAAAAAAAAAAAAAAAAACGTAAGAGAAATCCAAAATTCCTATTTGGAAAAATCAAAGTAAGCCAAGATCCTTAAAAGGATGACCATCAGCTTTGATCCCAACAGCACACTACGATCAGTTTGCGCGTCTCGGAGATAAGAAAACATTGTAACGCATAAAAACTAATCAAAGAAAGCATTAAACAAAGAAAACATCCGCCACAGAGAGTACAAGCCAATCTGTTTACTAGCCTTACCAGTATGCACCGGCCTATTCCTCCCAATGGTGGGTAGAAGGCTGTACTGATTA